CACACACCCCTGCCCAGTCTGTGTGTATACACACACACACACACCCCTGCCCAGTCTGTGTATATACACACACACACACACACACACACACACCCCTGCCCAGTCTGTGTATATACACACACACCCCCCTGCCCAGTCTGTGTATATATACACACACACACACACACACACCTGCCCAGTTTTTCTCTCATCAGATGTTTTATTTTTATTTATTTATTTACAAAATGGATACTTTTTTTTAAGTGTAATTGTATAATTGATACCTTTAGACTAATTACCTGAGTAAGGCATTGACACATTTTGTTTTTCTAGCAATTGCTCTCCCGTAACTATATTGCTTACAAGGAAATATTCAAGGACCGTGAGAGAAAAAAAACTTTCCCCAAGATTTTAATGGTTGTAGGGTACTTGGGGCATAACCCAACATGAAAATAATAAGGAAGATTAGAACGGATTTACGAAAAGCAAGACCAGTTCTAATCCAAATACCTTGATACAAGCTGATAATCCAGTAATAGGCTTTAATGCCTTATCACATATAAAAACAAAAAACGATTTAATTTTATTAAATCCCTAACTGGATAAATAAGAAAAACATAAATGACTGTGTGAACTGAAAGTGCAAAAAAGAAAAATGAAATGTTAAAATAGGACCAACTGCTGGAGCCTTATAATAGTATCCAAAAAGTGAAACCTCCAATTGAGATAAAGATACAGACCCTAGTAAGCCTGATATAGTGTTTCAACAAGAGAGGTGCTGAGCTAGGTCTGAAGTTGGGTGGTATTACATGATTTTGCTATTTCATGACGAAAAGTCATGATTTTATGAAAGACACTGAGGCGAGTATTGCTTAACCCTTGCTTTACTGTCCATCAATAGCAGCAAAGAATACAACAGTGAGGAAAAAATGGTAACCATAGTGATAAGCCACTCCCATACCAAGTCCCAGTATAATAGTCGGCACATCCCCACACATTTTCTCTTTTTCTTTGGAGATACGACACAATAACCACAAAACAGGAACGATGAAATGGTCCAAACCAAATAGAACAGGCGACCCGAAATCAAGCTGGACTCCTATCAGGAACCATAAAGAAAATGGGACTGATCCATCAATAAACAGGATTCCAACAGTGAGGGGCCCATCACAGCACTGTCCATAAACTTCATGGCCACTTGATGAAGACCCTTGGTCAACATCGAATCAACCTGTGAAAACACAAAAGACAGGAGCCGAACGGTTAAATCGGTACTTGAACCAACATGCGCATGCCAAGACATAATTTTATAACTAGGCAGAAGCAACACAGTGTGCATAATTCAACATAGGCATATTGTATAATCATGTAACATGAACAGGTTAATAAACGGCTGAAACCATACAAAAACCCAGAGCGCATAATGAATACCTACCAACCCTGGAAAACCTTTAGGAGAGAATAAACAACCGGGTGGGAAAAATCAGTGAAATAACATAGAAGGGTGGGACAATACTCGCCTCTGTGTTTTTCATAAAATCATGATTTTTCGTCATGAAATAGCAAAATCATGTAATTTTATGTCAAGACACGGAGACTCATATTGCAAGTTTAAAGCTGATCAATAACCGGAGAAAAAATGAGAGGCAGAGGTCGAAAGTAAAACTCACGAAAAGTTGATTCGCAGGACCAGTCGGCCAGCCTCATCAGGTCTTCCAGACGTGCACCTGAATTCACCAATGCCCCTCGGGCTGAGTGGGCACCGAAGATGGACGTATCCACACTGGCCAGAGAGGAAATCCCAGTTGAGGAGAAAACACACGTGGGAGAGGAGGTCCATCGAAGATGTTTCCGGAGAACTGAACGATCCTGTGCCATGATGAAGATGTCGTCCAAGTAGACTATTAGCTGGACTCCCCGACTGCGCAGCCAAGCCATGGCGGGGCGCATCAATTTCGTGAAGCACCAAGGGGCTGACGACAGTCAGAAGGGGAGGCACGTGAAGTGCCAGGTGTCTCCTTTCCAGAGGAAACTTAACAGGTCCCTGGATGACTCCGCCACTGGGACCGTCAGGTAGGCGTAGTTCAAATCCAACTTTGCCATCCAGTCTCCCTGAAGGAGTAAGTCCCGCAGAAGGTGGATGCCCTCCATTTTGAAGTGACGATAGTGCACAAGCGTGTTTAGGGCACGGAGGTTGATAACTGGGCGCATTTGTCTGCTTTCTTTCTTTTTTTTTTTAATTCTTTATTTTTCAGTTGTGCTTATGGTTACAAACATGTTTGTTCTGCCACACCAGCAAGAACTAAAATATTCAAGCATTTCAGGTATTTCAACATTATGGCATTTGAGATTTGCACACAATTTTTAATTTTTGGTACAAGGCATTTTATGAAGATGTGTATGTCAGCAAGAGTGGTTTATAGGCCTAATAATGTTTCACGAGCATCGGGTATGGCCTGTCCGGTATACATGTGAGATTGTTTCTCGTGCACAATCAGTTTGTGTGGTCTGGGGAGTCATACAGTTGTTGTGCTCAGGTGTTGTGTCACCGGGCTTATAAGATTTCAGGATAGTAAGTGACCCAGGTTTCTGTTGGATTAAAATGATTGGTTTATAGGGTGGGTCATGTGGCAATGTAACCACATTGTATTTTAGGTGCGAGCGTAGGACGCGGCGAGGGCACTTGATGGATCTTTGGTGAAATAAGCACCGGTGTGTCAAGGGGCCAAGGTTCCCCATTGGGTGGTTTGCCCCTAGGGGGGGGGGGGGGGTGTTCCTGCCTCTCAGACAGGTGTATGGTGTGTGTAACTTAGCAACACATGTTAAACTGGAAAACTAGCAATACAGTAGTTGTGAACACTAGAATTTTTTTTTTTTTAAATCAGATAGTCCTAAGTAGCAGGAGCAGTCGACCGCGCCGCCCTTCTGTGTGTGAAGTGTGGGAGTTATCTCTCGCCTTTGCTGGTCAGGTAGTTTGGTCTGCCGGTGTCATGGTTCGCGGGGTGAATGGCACTGTTTTTTCCGGGTCCCATCTCTGTGTAATGGTGTTTGCTGTGTTGTTCCCTTCTGGTAGTCTCAGCTTGGTTAGTACTGCAGGGGCTTCGTCGGGCGTTGAGATCTTATGCGTTGTTCTGTTGTGGGTGATTAGCAGGGATCTGGGTGCACCCCAGCGATATGGCACCCCTGCGTTGCGCAGTTGGCTTGTGAGGTGGGTCAGTGTTCGGCGCCATTGGAGTGTGGCTCTAGTTAGGTCCTGGAAAAACAGCAGTTGTGCAAAGTCCAGTGGGGTTTTACCCCGTATTGCCGACATGATGTTGGCTTTGTCCTGTGAGGTGGCACAGCGTAGAATGACATCCCTGGGGGTTGTGCTGGGCATGGTAGCTGAAGGTGGGAGCCTGTATAGCCCTTCAAGGATTTTCTTAGCTGTCACTGGCGGCAAGATGGTAGCGAGGAGCCTCCTGACATAATGAGGCAGTTAATCGGCTGTGATGTCCGGGGGTACCCCACGTATTTTAATGTGATTGCGACGGGCATGATCTTCATGGAGTGACATTTGTAGGGAGAGTCCCTGCTGGGTGGTCTGTATTTGTTGTATAATTTCTTTTACTTGTGTGATGTCAGTTTGGATGTCCACGATGCTCTCCTCTGTTACCCGTACCTGTTCTGTTACGTTGTGTAAGTCCCCTTTAAGTGAGCTCACATCTGTGTCCAGCGTTTTCTTGATGTCTTGTACCCAATTATATAGGTCCGGTTTGGTGGCCAGTGTCAGGTGATGCCTGTGGTAGTGTCGGGGTGTACTCACTGTCTGCCTCCGTTTGTACAGGTGTTTGGGGTTCCGACCGGGATGGTATCAGGGCTTGTGGGGCCTCCGCAGCCATTTTGGAGTGCACCTGCCTCTGCAGCAAGGTCCCGATATCTGCTTGCTCCGCTGAGTGGCCGGGCTGTGATCTTTGCGTGCGTCTTCCCATGTTCATTGAGGTAGTGTTGTGGGTCGGCAGAGGTTTGCTGGCTGGGTCCGGCTCCCTTTGGCTGTACACTCCGTCCTGGAAGTACTCCAGTCCGGTGATAGTCGGCGAGGGGTAGGCCTTAAGCCTCCGTTTCACTTTGCTAGATCGTGGACTGTAAAGAAGAGGCATCAATATGTGCGCTCTGTTGTCTCGATGCCGATTTCAAGGTGGGTTTTGTAATTGGTCAGTCCCTTCTAAGGATGTTTGCAGATTTGTTTCAGGGATTTAGGGAGCTGGCAGAAATAGCTGCCGCTCCAGATCAGGTTCAAGCTCTGCCCCCCATTTGTCCGCTTTCTTTTCCACTAGGAAAATGTTGCTGATCACCTCTGTGGAGGACACCGAGGCTTGCTCTATCGCCCCTTTTGCTTGGAGGGCCGTTAGTTCCGTGTCTATCAAGGCGCGGTCGGTTGTTGAAAGCAAAATAGGGCGAGGTGGGGGAACGTGACACAGAGTGTCGACCAGTTCGATGTGAAACCCCCGAACTGTGGTCAGAACACAGACATCTGAGGTGATGGCTGACCAGGTGTGGAAAAAATGACAGTCTTCCCCTTACACACACATTGGAACAAACATGAGGTAGATGTAAGCTTACCGTAAGGGCGTCTGGAACCGGGGTTTCCTCTGAAGCCTCTGGAACGCCATGGTCTTCCGCGGGAGAGGAAGAAAGGAGACTGTTGTCTTGTCTCCTGGTAGGGTGTTCTCTGAGTGTAGGAGAATCGTCCCCATCCACGGGCATGGTAATTGGAACGGCCGGACAGACGACCCCTGAATCTACCGGCCCTGGTAGAGACCCGCCCATGAAACACCCTCTTCATGGAGGATTGGGCCTTATCTAGGGCTGTAAAGGCACCCACATAGCGTCCCAGGTCCTTAATAAAGGCTCTGGGCGTTCTTGCCCGCCTCTGTGAGGGCGAGGTTGGCCAGTTTGGGTTCAATCTTGAACAGAATGGCTTTACGCCTTTCAATGGACAGGCGTGCAGAGGGCTATCTGCCTGCAATGCAGATAGCCCTCTGCATCCAGCCACGGAGTTCCTCCGGGTCAACTTGCCGGTTCTTGGCTCTGGCGATTTCAGCCAGGTTAAACAGTTTGGCCAAAGGGCCAGATATGTTGTGATATTTATCTTGGCACTATTTAAGTGTCGAATCTAGACCCTTGCGGGGATTCCAACCCATTTTGGAGAGGAATAGGGTCATCTTTGGGTCCACAACAGGGGTCTCACAGACTTTGCCAGGTACTAATGGTCTTGGGCATTCCGCCTTAAGTTTATTATGCGCCGCCTTACTGAGGGGGCGTCGTACCCAGTTTTCAAGGTACCGTGCCACATGGTCTGCCGGGAGCCAATCCGCCAACATCGGATGATGGAGAGCATCCGGGTGAAACATGGGTTCACCCGACGGATCCATGAGGGTGGAGCCTGCAGTAGCGGGGGAGTCGCTCCTAGGGCCACTTGCAACCACCACGGAGTGAGCAGGGCCAAAAGGGTCAGATTTCTGCCCACAAAATTCATCATCGGAGTTATCCACAGACTGAGTCAGCCTCCCCACTAGACCCGATATCTGAGTTGGAGTCGCTCTCTTTTTGTGCTCTAGCACACTTCCAGATGAATTCAATGGGATAAATAGACAAAAGGAATGAATAGAAAACAGGTGAATGCACTGACTGTTCGAATAAATAGTAGTAGAACGCGGAAAAACAGACGAATGAAGCGAATTGCTAGAAAAAAACAGACGAACGGCATGTGTTCGTGAAGAATTTCACAAAAACAGCCGAACAGAATGAAAAACAGGCGCAAAAGGGCGCCAAATAAACGGAGAGGGGGAGAAAATGGAGCCAAAGGGTAGTGAGGAAAATATAAGGGGTGTGTTAGTAATCAGAAGAAGCAAGTGAGCATGGATAATACACAGAATAAAACATAAGGAAGGTCTGGAACCCTGGGCTCAAAGGTAACCAACATAATATAAAGTAGTAAACAAGCATGTAATAATACACAGAAAAAAATCCTTACAGGGAAAGTACAGCACTGCAGGTCCCCTCTTCCCCTCCCCCCCCCAATCCCCGGTTGCTGTGTAACCGCAGGTGGTTCCCTTATTTACCACTATAATGTCTTAAAGTATAGAACTTAGTAGGGATAACGATACAGATATCATATAAATAAATAATTGAGAATACAATATAAAATAAGGATTGTCTTGGAATTAATAGTTTTGTCTTTTAGATATTTATTTACCCTCAGGGTCCCCCTCCTGCCCGGCTCTGGAAAGGGGAAAAGGGGTAAAACTTACTTTTTTCCAGCGCTGGGCGGGAAGCTCTCTGCCTCCGATCCTCCTCCGTTCCTCCCCATCAGCTGAATGCGCACGCACGGCAAGAGCTGCGCGCGCATTCAGCCAGTCGCATAGGAAAGCATTATCAATGCTTTCCTATTGACGTTTGTGTGCTGTCACTGTGATTTCCACAGTGAGAATCACGCAAGCGCCTCTAGCGGCTGTCAATGAGACAGCCACTAGAGGATTTGGGGGAAGGCTTAACCCATTCATAAACATAGCAGTTTCTCTGAAACTGCTATGTTTATAAAATAATGGGTTAACCCTAGCTGGACCTGGCACCCAGACCACTTCATTAAGCTGAAGTGGTCTGGGTGCCTAGAGTGGTCCTTAAGGTTACCACAGTATATTGTGTACTGAAAGAGTCGTAGTATAGCCTTGAAGCTTGTTTATGCATTATTGTTATTGTAATTCGTCTGGGACAAAATGGCGCAAACATATTATGCACTGAGGTTATTGCTTAAAGAAACAGTTATGAAAAACAATATGTTCCATTTCTAACACCTTGTCAGTTTGCAAAATCTCTTAAAGACAAAGTACACAGTTTAAGAAATACAACATTTCATTCTAAAACTTGTAATATTTGCATTTGCCCATAACAGCTGAAGGGGTGAAAACCCCTTCAGTAACTTACCAGAGGCAGCGACGATGGCCCGCGTCGCTGCTGCTTCCGCCGCCGCCGCTCCTCCTTGTGATTGTGTCGGCCGGTGGGCGAGACTGATCCCGCCCACCGGCTGGGGAGACCTAATAAGCATGCAGATTCAATAGCAGTATCTTTCATAGTGTGAAGAAAATAATAGCTAGAGTAAAGCCTGCTGGTCTATTGATAGTTACTGATAATGGGTGCAGTCACCATAAGAGACTGCACGCACGCTCCCACTTTGAAGGTATTGTTTGAGCTTTAACATTGCATCAGAGATACCCACGTATCAATTTATTCACAATTGAATTTGCTGATTATGCTCCATAGCATATATATGTATATACTCTTCTCACATTATACCTTTTGACAGCATCCAATTACCCCCAACTTCAGACCTAGCTCAGCAACTCTCTTGTTGCAACACTATATCAGGCTTACTAGTGTCTGTATCTTTATCTCAAGTGGAGGTTTCACTTTTTGGATACTATTATAAGGCTCCAGCAGTTGGTCCTATTTTAACATTTCATTTTTCTTTTCTGCACTTTCTGTTCACACAGTCATTTGTTTTTCTTATTTATCCAGTTAGGGATTTAATAAAATAATTTTTTTATTTTTTATTTTTTTTTGTGTGTTAATGCATAAACGCCTATTACTGGATTATCATCTTGTATCAGGGTATTTGGATTAGAACTGGTCTTGCTGTTGGTAAATTCTAATCTTCCTTATTATATGGTTTACAACCTTATTGCTATTATGTGCGGTATCTGAAAGATCCAAAATGCAGTGGCCAGCTATTCATGGCAACATCTGTATGGTTTTGTGATGATGCTATTGAAATGGGACTTCTTCATGCTTTCAACTTGTGTTGATGATTGTGTGTGCTAAGTTTCACTATATACATTTTAATGTGTTTTCTTGCAGGCAGTGTCTTGCTTAGTTGAAGTTTCAGAAGGAGACTTGAGGAAAGCCATTACGTTTTTACAGAGTGCGACAAGGCTTACTGCTGGAAAAGAGGTCACAGAAAAAATTGTGGTAGAAATAGCTGGGGTAAGTTATATACATTATACCAGTGGTTCTCAAACTTTTACGGTTAAAGGTGCCTTTAATATTTCATAATTTTTCCAAGGCACCCCAAGTCAAAATTTCTAGGTTGTATATATGTACAGCGCTGCCTCATATGCTGGAGCTATAGTGTAATATACAGTGTTGGCGTTTTGAAGGGGTGCTTGTGTATAGTTTGTGTTTTAATTCAGGGGTGTTTGTAATGTTTGCGTTCGATTGCATGGTTGTGTTTGAATGTTATGTTCGCGCTTGGATGTATGCACATACATACTTACACAGATATACATACAGACATTCATATAGACACCGACACATACACACACAAACATTGATACATGCAAACACCATGATACAGATACACACACTGACATAAAAACACACATTCTGAGACACAGATGCCCATACACAGATGCATATCCTGACAAACAGATGTGTAAGCTGACACAGAAGCACACTGATACACACACACGTGATATTTTTAATATCTCCAGCCACTCTCCTGTTGGCTTATCTTATGTGTCCAGGAGGGTGGCTTAGAGTCCTAGTTAGGGATCGACCGATTATCGGTTTTACCGATATAATCGGCCGATATTCGGTATTCTCGGCAATATCGGTATCGGCCAATTCAGATACCGATATTGCCGATAATACCTCCTAGGACCGCCAGGCTCATTACAAACCCGGCGGTCCTGGGGGGGCGGAGAGCAAGCGCTTACTCACCTCCCAGCAGCTCCTCCAGCTCCCCAGTGCAACTCTCGCGAGACCCGCGGCCGTCAGAGCGTTGCCATGGATCACCATGGCAACGCTCCGCGCGACACGCTGGCCGCGAGAGTTGCACTGGGGAGCTGGAGGAGCTGCTGGGAGGTGAGTAAGCACTTGGTCTCCACCCCCCCCAGCTCAGCCAATGCCACTGGACCACCAGGGACTGTCATATCCCCCCTCCCTGGCCAGGTAACAAGCAGGGAGGGGGGACAACAAAAATAAATAATAAAGTAAATATAATTTTTTTTTTTTTAATAATTTAATAAAAAATGCCCCCTCACACACTGCATTATATACACATACACTACACAAACACACTGTGTATATAATGCATCGGCCTGAAAGTTCACAGAATATCGGTATCGGTATCGGCTCTGAAAAATCAATATCGGTCGATCCCTAGTCCTAGTCCTAGTCCTGGTGGGAGTGAGGCGTCTGGAGCAGCTCTGGAGTGCTCCTCATGCTTCAGCTGCTTTTTCTCCCTCCTGCTCAGTCTCTTTGCATGATGCTGAGAGGAAGAGACAGGCTGTCACTTCCTCCCCACTGGTCGACATTACAGGGGCCCGGGCGCAGTCTAAGAGGACCACGGCACCCGACCTGGCCCCTGTTCAGCAGTAATGTTTCCTATGATGATAGCACCAGGGAATCATTCCGCAGCACACAGTTTGGGAACCGCTGTATTATACAATCTAACTTTCTTAACAGTTGACTGCACTAATTACTAAATTGGGATTGAAATTAAAGAAATTGAGCTGCTCCATCAAACATTTCCTTAGCTGCCATTACATGTTTAAAAAACCATTTCAGATTGATAGGATACACCTGTCTATTAGAAATTATGCCACAAAACTGTGTAGAGCAAGCATGTCAAACATGCGGCCCACAATGAATATATTTGCGGCCCGCCTGCCCTGGGGCCGCTTTCAGATGTGGTTCGACCAGCAAGACAGGAAAAATATTTCCTGATTCTTGCTCTTCTGGCCACAAGAGGGCAGAGTGGCTGGCTGTCTGCTGAGCAGACCAGAGCAGCCACTCCCCCTCCCCTCCTGCTTGCAGTGCCAGAGGAGCGCTCGCCTGGTTCAGCAGGGCTGGAGCTGGAACTGGAGGATGGACAACAAATTGTAAGGTAGAAGAAGAGAGGCTTGGGGGAGGGGGGCAGTGTATTAATTTGAGGGAGGGGGCACTCTATTAATGTGAGGGAGGGAGAGGGCACTCTATTAATGTGAGGGAGGGAAAGGGCACTCTATTAATGTGAGGGAGGGAGAGGGCACTCTATTAATGTGAGGGAGGGAGAGGGCACTCTATTAATGTGAGGGAGGGAGAGGGCACTCTATTAATGTGAGGGAGGGAGAGGGCACTCTATTAATGTGAGGGAGGGAGAGGGCACTCTATTAATGTGAGGGAGGGAGGGAGAGGGCACTCTATTAATGTGAGGGAGGGAGGGAGAGGGCACTCTATTAATGTGAGGGAGGGGAAACTCTATTAATTTGAGGGAGGGAGGGGGCAATCTATTAATTTGAGTGAGGGGGCCAGTGTATTCATTTGGGGGACGAAGGGGGCCAGTGTGTTAAAATAGTGGTGGGAGTGGGGGCAGTCCATTCAATTAGAGTTGAGGGAGGAGGGGCAGTGTATTAGATTAAGGGGCAGTGGATGAGTGGAAGGAGGAGGGGCAGTATGTTGGATTTGGGGGCAATGTATTGGATTTGTGGGCAGTGTATTAGAGTGGGAGGAGGGGCAGTGTGTTAGATTGGAATGCATATTATGGAGCGGTTGTTTTAACCGGGAACTCTCGCCGTTGCATTGTACATCACAGGTTGTAATAGCAGGAGCACACTGTGTGCATATGACGCTCCTACATTGACATTTTAAGTGAGTTTACGTTTATCTTTTCACTTTAATACCATTGAAAACAATTAACATTTTTATGCTCCCACTTGTTTTTACAAAGACTTACGGTTAAAGGAACCAAGTCATTAAATTGTCATTTCTTCCACCCACATGTATCATGGTTTACTCATATTGAAAGTGTCATGGCCCTGCTCTCTGCCCACTCCTGCTAAATTACATATTTCACCTTCGCCAGATTTCGTGTGCGTTCGCACTTAATGCTACATTTGCTTTTTAAACTTCTTACATTTGTAAAGCAATTTCTATCTCCAGAACCTAGAACATGACCTTTTTAATAATGTTTTACGATGTCATTGAAATTCTGACACACCTGAATTGAAGATTGCTCCTTAGTATTGAGCACCCATCCGTTTGAAAACTTGCTCTTTCATCTAAATCATTGGCATGTCAAAATTGCTCTCTTACTCTTGTAGGTGATCCCTAAAGAAACACTTGATGGAGTATTAGCAGCGTGTCAGAGTGGTTCATTTGAAAAATTGGAAACTGTAGTCAAGGTAAAAAACAAATGCTAAATGAACGGGTGAAGGGGATGGGACAATGGTGAGTAGTGGTAGGATGTGACAAGGGGAGTGGGGGGGGGGAAATACCTACACACATAGTCACACACACAAAAAAAACCATAACTCACACATGATGGTCGTATACCATGGGGTTAAGTTGACATGTTGATGTATGGCACTGGAAAAAGACCTCATACGTGAGCCGCCGTGAATCATACAAAAATAAACTCTAAGTGTAAAGACGGCTTAACATAAGTGAAAGTGTAGAGAACATTTGTAATGCTTAATGTTATTGTGAACTGATTCATGTGTACAAGAACTTAGATTGCACTTTGATGTACGCATGAATCTGTTATTGCAAATTATTGGACTTGTGTGCATGCGTTGATCACTGTGAAACTCAAATATTTTTAAAAAAACCACACAAATGTTAATTTGATTAAAAAAAACAAAGAAAAACAAAACAAAAAACTATGGAACTTTGGAAGCCACCCTCCTTGAAAAGATGCTAAAGATCAGATGCATAGCAAATTTCTCAAAGTAAAGCATTCCTTGTGCAGTGTAACTGTATTTTCTCCACTTTTAGATCCTTCCTCTGCAATCACACCACTATTTCTCTCAATGATTTTAGCAAGAGAGCTGAAGTTCAGTGTCTTAAAAAAGACAAACACAAATAAAGCCTTACTGAAAAATGATGGTACACATTCTAACTTTCCAGTGGACACTAATTGCCTCAGGTTGTTTTGTCAGAATCCACTGCTTTGGCTCACTGTGTGTGTGGGGAATGGCATTTATTGTATTCGCTCATCCTCTTACCACATCATCTGATCACATTTGTTCAGACTTATTCAGTCATCTCTCTGCTATGGTAACACGGCATATTACATGCAAATACGTTAGAAAAATCCATAAAGAAGTCTAATTTGATGTAAAGCCTCTCAACCCTGAATTTAATAACTTGGACAAGGAGTAGATTGATAGGATGATGCTGTGTATATTTAGTATCAATTTTAATATTAACGAACATGCAAAAACATGCTTTTAAATTAGTATTTGCTCTGTATCATTGATTCAAGAACCAAATAATGCCAAAACTTGTGCATCGTAAACAGTGATTCGATTTACCTAAATGCCAACATTTGAATACATCACTAATAGATCACTTCCGCAGTATAATTTTATACATTACACCAATGCAGTATCTAAAATTAAATGGTGTATATATCCCCCTACTTTTTGTTTTTTTTTTTTTCTATTTTGCTTTATGGAAATAGAAGAAAACACACGAAAATACATGCAAACACTTTTTTTTATTTTTTATCTTTCACTGTAGTCTAATACAATAAAAATCTTAGTAGGTAATTTCTTTTTGCAGACTCTAATACACAATGGTCATGCAGCCAACCAGCTTGTGAGCCAGATTCATGATATTATTCTTGAACGTGAGGACCTAAAAGATAAACAAAAAGCCATCATTGCAGAGAAACTTGCAGTAAGTAGTCGGTATTGCAGTAATGTCACTATTGAAAATACTGTAAAAAAATTGATCTTCTGTTCATTATTTTTCAAAAAAAGAAAAAGAAATGTAAGTCTCTTTATAAATTGCATTTACAAATGACTGTTTCTCTTTTCAGGAGGTTGACAAATGTTTGACAGATGGAGCAGATGAATATCTTCAAATGCTAAGTCTTTTTGCAGTTATTATGCAAGAAATGACTCAAAATTGCTAATGCTATAGATTTTCTTTTTCTCAAGGTGTCATTGACTAACACGATTCATGATATAAATTTTTGTATAAATGCATATGTTTTGTTATATAAAAAAATAACTTGTTTACATGTAGTGTTTACCTGCAGTGTTTGAGATTTTTTTTTTTTTTTTTGCATATTAGTCAGACATTAGTTGTGCTGTGAGGTACTTCTGGATACTTGTAAAAAAAGACATTGCAAATCTGTGGCTCCATGGATGTGTGGCTGTGTTTGTGTTGCCTAATGATATAACAAGCTATAAATCTGTGCTTGCTTCCTCCACTAATATATTAGTGAAGAGGTTCCACTCCCAATGGGTTGATTATTAGGGTAAGAGAGAGATTGTAAGAGGAGAAACGTGAAAAAAAATATTGAATCTGAAAAATAATGACCCGTAGTTATGTACAATATAGGGGATATTCTTTGATATTTATTAGCTTTTTACTAAATGAAGTCATCCAAAACAAGATTTTGTTTAAGCACCACATGACAAACCTTTACAAAAATCATGGAACTCTTTCAGTACAAACCCCATGTAGACAGATGTCTTCTCCTTCCACATTGTATTGTATCCTAGAAAGCTCTGTAGGCACATATTGTGCATATTTAAAAGTTCTGTCAGCCTGAATTGCCACTTGACATGAGACGAAGGTGATGCAGATTGCACATCATTACATGAACATGTAAACACTAATTCTTCTTAAAACTGACTCAAGATTAGAATTGAAGAGAAGTAATACTGCCCCTCCATTATATTGGATTGACAGGTCTGTTGCCCTCATTTGAGGCGGAACATGAACATGACATACTGCGTGCCTTCCACTTGTCAGGACTGTAATAGATACTCACAGTTCATAACAGAAGTCCAGCGTTCATGCATTTTTCAGTTAGACTAATCCAATTGTTATCATCTCTAATTTGGTATTTAGTTGTTAACGTTCAGTGTAAATTAAATACCTGATATCACATCCTTTGTGATTATTCAGCTACTATCCAATAACTATAAGCACACATGTATGAATTCACAGGAGTCTCTCTTGCCCAGAGATTACACTTAAAGAGATTCTCAAAATTATCCAGTAAGATAGTTTTGTGGGTGGGTGATTACAGAAATTGTAAAATGTTAAATCGCCTCCACTAGTATATTGTAATGTTTCTAAACCTAGCTCCTGGCTAATCAAGGCAACATATGCGAACAGGTAGCGCCTCTCCCCCGAAGAAACTGATCTGCACATGTTGAATCTATAACAGACATGGCTAATGATAACTATAGATATGGTTCACAGGCTGGTAAACAATCAAGGTCACAGCTACTTCCGTTCAAAACTTTTTTCCATTTCATTTTCAATAGATAGACCATACCGTCGACAAATTAGTCAGTTAACCAATATGACCTGCCTCATTCATGCAGTGACTGTTTACCAAGGAGTGATGGCTTAAATGGACAATCTAGGCACTCTATCACTTCATCTCATTTAAGTTCTTTAGTGTTGTTCCATCTGCTAAGTGTTAAACCTTTTTGAATATTTTAATGCTAAATAAGGTGCCTTAAAGCGGCACTGTCATGGCCGAATCCCGTTTTTATTTGGGGTTTTTTTAACCCGCCTCCACTATCTCTAATTGACCCCCTAGTCACCCCAAAATGCCCCTAAGCCCCCATATTACCTATTTTTTAATCTTTATTTTCTGCCCCGATCTATATTCAGGGCGCCGCCATCTTTGTGTGGGTAGATGAAGTCCCTGTGGGACACGTCATCTGCTCACACTAGATAGCACTAGTGAAACACTTGGACATGCGAACGGGAATCTAATCCATCCATTCATTCATCAAAAAGATGAATGAATAGAAATGTCAGACGAACAAACAAACACTGAGTATCAGTGTTCGTTTGTTCATTCAGTTTATTACAAGGAGGGAGCTACCGGCGCACAGCTCCCTCCTTGTAATATGTAAAGATAGAAGCGGCAGTGCTCCCCGCCACTTCATAAGCCCCCCAGCTTCCCCCTCACTCTATAGGGGTCAATATGACCCCCATAATAGCATAAGGGAGATTTAAATCTCCCCAATGCCCCTATTCGCTATGCTGTGGCTGTGGCTGCTCACTGTTTAAAAAAAAAAAAAGAAAACTACTATCCTAAAAAACAATAAGGGGGCACCTACGTCCTCCCCCCCCCCCTGGAGGGAGGGGGAACCTACTGTCCTCCCCTCCCTCCCTCCAGCCCCACCCCTGAGTAGTGGGTGGGGCCCTAAAAAGGGGAACCTTCTGTCCTCCCCTTGAGCCCCCCACCCCTGAGCGGTGGGTGGGGGCCGTAAAAACAATAGGGGGGGGGCCTACTATCCCAAGCCCCTAGTCCCCCCCCCCCCACCCAAATAAAACCATCTCCTACCTACCTACCCCCCTCACCCTAAAAATAGTGAGGGGGGAATAAAATAACTAACCTGTAAATAAAAAGTTATTTGGATTTTTCCCACGCTGTGTAAAATGACACAGAGCACTAGTACCCCTAGTCACCTTGATTGGGGGGGGGATTTTTATTTAGGGCCCCCACCCGCCGCTCAGGGGTGGGGGCCGGGGTGGAGGACAGTAGGTCCCCCCCCTTATTGTTTTTTTAGGGCCCCCACCCACCGCTCAGGGGGGCGAGGACAGTAGCCCCCCCCTTATTGGTTTTTAGGGCCCCCACCCACTGCGCAGGGGAGAGGGGGACAGTAGGTCCCCCCCCTTTTGTTTTTTAGGGCCCCCACCCACCGCTCAGGGGTGGGGGCTGGGGGGAGAACAGTAGGTTCCCCCCCTTATTGTTTTTAAGGCCCCCACCCACCGCTCAGGGTGGGGGCCGGGGGGGGAGGACAGTAGGTCTGCCCCCCTTATTGTAATCTTTACTTAGTATTAGTAAAGTTGGCTGAAAGACCAATTTAGGTCTTTCAGCATTTTTGTAGATAACTCCCTGATACCATGGGAATTAGGGAGTTATCTACTAAGCGGCTGCAAGATGCAGCCACAGCACGAATAGGATCGGAGTTTCATTCATTCAAATGAAATTGCGATCCGAACTAAGTCCCGAATTGCATCCTAACACGAATGGAGAAACTGTTCTCATTCTGTTAGGATGCAATTCGGCAGTTTTGTCGGCGTTCTGTCTAAGTGACAGGACGTTCGGCAATACTGACAGGGATGAAAGCTAAGGATCATGGGAAAATTGCTCTGACCAGCGGAAATGAAGCACACTTTGCTCCTCTGCTGGTCAAGCGGAGGAAACCTCCATAAGGCAAAGAGTCCCTACTTTGTCTTATGATTTTAAAGAAAACTTAAGAAGACAGGAAGAAAAGAACAGATTCTGAGAGAGGGGAAGAAGAGGAAGAGATTGAGGAAAGGTAAGTTCGGCATGACAGTGCTGCTTTAATGCCTAAACCTCTACATAGAAAGCCTTATCTCAAGTATAATGGTAGAAGCGATTGCTTTACAGCTTTAGCTGAGCTCAGGCTGTCGCAGCACCAATTGCTGGAATTAATTGTTGTGGCTAGAAATAAGTCATACCTCCAGTGGAGGGCAGGGTTGTGGAGGACCTTCCTTTGAAAATATTTTAACCCTCATTGAAGGGATAGTGGCAGGGGCTTCAGGCACTATAACCACTTCAATTACATGAAGGGGGTCACAGTGCCTACAGTGTACCTTTTAAGGCAGGTGTCTCCAACTTTGTATTTCTGGGCACCGCAGTTCAAGTTGTCTTCTCCCAGGGGTCCACATATCTGTACTCCCAGATGCTCTCACACAGCAATTGCAACATTAACTCCACACTGCATTTTATTAATGCCAAAACTGGTGGATTAACTCCACACTTTTTATATATACATATATTGGTAAGCAAAATCCAAATAGGTTATGGTGGGGAAAAATTGTGATTGAAAACCCCTTCCACCTGAAGTATGTGGATAGTTAATACAATGCTAAACAAAAATCTGCACACCAGTCAAGCCATAAGACTTGCTTTTCCCACAGAAATCCAAATCAGCAGTGATGTTACAACCGCAAAGGATTCTGGGTGGGCATATGCAAATTAGTTTAACAAAGAATCACATTTTTGCCTCATTCCATTTTAAACATGGATTCCTTTTAATTTGTGTTTGCAGTATACAACTGCTTGGAACACAATTTAGGATAAGATGCAAAACCAGTGAACCACTCATGGACAGCTGTTTCGTTGTTAATGCAACTCTTCAGCATGAGGTTGGTTACTGGTTTGCTTAGTGAGGCTTGGTAGTGCTTGGGAAGCAAAATCCAAATAGGTTATGGTGGGGAAAAATTGTGATTGAAAACCCCTTCCACCTGAAGTATGTGGATAGTTAATACAATGCTAAACAAAAATCTGCACACCAGTCAAGCCATAAGACTTGCTTTTCCCACAGAAATTCCAAATCAGCAGTGATGTTACAACCGCAAAGGATTCTGGGTGGGCATATGCAAATTAGTTCCTCTTCCTACTCCTAGTGCAGCATGTCATCTTGAAAGGGAGGCTCTTAGGACAGGACTCAGAGCCAGAGTGGGGATATGATTTTCCTGCCCACTTCAAAACAAAAATTAAAGTTGTGTGCTGGACGCTCCGTGAAAGAGCCCTTCCCTGAGCCTTGGTCAGAAAACTGGTCATCTGTGGGAGAAGGATTTATCAGCTGGATCATGTGGTTTGGTGCCAGACACCTGGTAACCTAGCTGTGAGAATGTAAATAAGGGGCCAGTAGTTTGACGTTCCCTGGCTTAAAAGGGCAATCCAGACCCATAAAGCTCTAGCTTTATGAGAGGGCTTACAAAGGCTGCTGTCATAAGTGTACATTCTCATCCTCTTGACTTCTGTGGAGAGCGTTAAGTGTCTCCATGCAGGTTGTGGTGCACAGTCTAGCACGGAGATAGGAAGCACTAATATCTTGCGGAGTGACTGCTACTAGATGTTACAAACCTGCAAGGACATGCTAGACACACCAGAGCTGTAGTGGTTCTGGTGCCTAATATCCATTAAGGTTTGTTCAAGTGCTGTGAGGAGGAACTATACAGTTGAATGAAAGTGAAGTAGACTATGGAAACCTTTGTAATGTGTAGATGTACAGGAAAGCAATTATGAGGAGTCAAAAAGAGTTTGCTAAAGGTTGGTTTGTGTGATTATTTTTTTTAAAGACTGATGCTAGGGGTGGGTATGATAGCATAGGGAAAGGCATTTTACAGTAATGGTGCAGTTCTGTTGAGAATTAGCAATGGGGTAAATGAACAAAGCAAAGGGTCCATTTGTTAAAAAGGATGTGTAAGTAGGAGTGGAATTGTTAGCTTTGGAAGTTAGCACCAGCAGTTTAAACTGTATCATACCAGCCAATGGGGTGAGGCTTGAATGTAGCTTTACTTCATGAAGCTAAACCTGTTGGCAAAAATGATCCATTTCTGTTCCCTTTGCTCTGCAAATGACATCTGCTCATTCCCACATTATCTGCAATATTTTTGAAAGGCTGCTATGCCATCATTCTTTCATCATCTCCAGTCCTTTAAAGAAACCACTAAAAACCTTATTAGAAAAGCATACGGTCTTTCTCGATGACACTTCTCATTTTACTGCCCTTGCCTCCATAGCCCAGTTCACACTGCCTTCTGTCACGGTTTGCTTATTTCAACAGTCATATCCATTGATCACCACACCCTCAGACATGTTTGTGTTTTTACCCCTTCCTCGGATTGTAAGCTTAAGCAGGCCTTTCTTCATATTTTGTTACATTCCATGTGTAAATTACATATCCAATAATACCATCTTATTTCAAAGCGCTATGTAAGGTAACTGTTGAAGGAATAGTTTAAAGTGGGTCAATGCAGGTATTTGAAAGGCTGACAAGTGAGTGGAATTATTCAAAGCAGGAAATAAGGGCATGGACAAAAGCCATTAGGGCAAATATAGGAAATTTCAGGTGTGGCTTATATGATATTAGACTGGATGAGGGGAGAAGACAAGAATTGTAAAGTCCAAGGCTGTGATCATGCAGAGTTAGGGTAATGCATGTAATATTTGAAAGGTTACAAGTTCCTTTTAGAAAAACCCAGGGATACCTAGTTTGTTGACAAGGAGAGCTACATAAAAAAATGTTGTACCATTTATATGGGGATTAGACACTGGAGCTATGATTACCAAGAGATCCGGTGTTAAAAAACAAAACATAAAATGTGCAAAGACCTAATTCTTGGGGGAAACCAACTGAGTTGGATAGTGGGAGACGACACTACATTTAGTGAGGTTAGTAACAGTATCAGATATGGGATGGTAGAAGAAGTCAAACTAGGGTAATTACAAATTCCTACTTTAGAGAAGTTGGGAAGATGCCAGTATCAGGATGAGTGAAGACTGGGAAACATACTAGACAAAGGGGAATACTACACACTGGCTAATATGTTACTCATGCAGTGTTGTAGCATCAGCTGCTATACAAGACTGCTACTAAGTTGTCAGACAGGAGTGAAATTGCTCCACAAAATGATGTTTGGCTGTAGGTCCCTTAATTATGCCACTCTACCCTTTCATATAACCAACAGTTCATAGTATTCTCTTCATTAATTCTGGTTTGGCTCACGCTAAAGTCTGTATTGGAGTTTTATACTTGCGCAAAAATTCCTTTCAACTGTGCTGAAAGTCAAATGCTTATAAATTTTGGATTCATATTGACCCAACAAAATCAATTTGTAAGTCCATAGATTGACAGTTTTTGTTCAACATAACTGAAAGGAATTTGTTCACCAGGCTAGTTCAGTATGCAATCAGATCTATTCTGGAATACTGCCAAGACAAGTACACATGTAACATTTGTAAGCATACACATTGCTTCTCCAGAGATTTGCAGGCAGCGCTATTCAGGCTTTAACAGCCAGCCAAAACTGCAGTGTCATAAGTAAATTTTATAAGATTTACCTGGCATGGACAAGACCCAAGCTGGATATTGTCTGAACATTTACTCTAGTTTACTGCTCTTGGCACTTCCAACAGATTATAAATTGTCACATGGAATGGTAAAGCACAGACAGCTTTATATGCCATGTAAATTGGCATATGTACAAGGCTGGTATATAGTGAGACTCTGACACTTATCACAACTTTAGTATTTTAAATGTCCTACTGTTTTGTAAGTTATGCAACCCTTCTAGAAGTTAAATCATTTGGTTGTACATAGGGATCGACTGATTTTTTTTTTTTAGAGCCGATACCAATAATCTGTGAACTTTCAGGCTGATAGCTTACCGATCTTCTGTACACTTACCACTTTGCAAAATGCTTGTGTAATGGATGTCTGAAGGTATGTAATTTTGTGTAAAATGGGAAGGGGAGGCATTTTTAGTAGTATTTTATTTTTGTTCCCCTCCATTACCTGGCCTGGGAGGGGCTATGCCATGGTGGTCCTGTGGCATGACTGCTGTGGGGACCCAGCAAACAGTTTCCTTCCCAGTAGCACTCGTGTAAGTCCTGCTGCCAGCGTGGTGTGTGGAGTGTTGCCATAGTAACACTGTGGCAATGCTCTGACGGCTGCAGGACTCAATATTTACACGGGTGAGCTGAAGGGGCGTAAGTAAGCGCTTGCTGGCCCCTGGACTTGTAATGGGTCCAGGTATGTATTATACTTGCATGTTAACATTGACCAGCTCCACCCTCCCAAGAATGCATGCAAAGATTAACAAAAATTATAGACACAATTTATTAAACAGTTAAACTTCATTTTAAGACATGTGCAATGTAGCAATTTAACAATTAAGCCAAGACAAATTGTTGGGGTTTTAGGGTCTAGCGCAAACTTACTTTAATAAATATACAAAAATGTATATGCCTTTCGATTTAGTAAAGTCTACATCTGAAATGTACAATAAGTGTGTATATGCTAATTTAACATAATTTGCTGATTTTATACAGCACCTATACCTTTTAGTCCATAAGTAAATAATTAAGTGATAAAGAACATCTAACACAACCGCTTCTCTAGAACTAGGAAATAAATTTCTAATATAAAGAAAATGTAAAGACCCCATCGCTTTACAACCCACCCCAACAGTCTAAACTCTGGATGGAGGATAAAGACCACAGCTTTCCTTCCAGAGCAGGTGACTATAGTCACTTTGCGTATCAAAAATCTGGATTTCTGATCCGTTATGAGCATCGAGACAAGATTCAAATATATTCCAATGAAAGCACAATGCGCGTTGTGAATCGCCAAGTCAACAACAGCGAGAATGGCAAACTCATCCAAATGATCAAATAAGATCAGCCACATTCATTGGCATCTCTTCCACTGTAGTATTGTAGAAAGTCTCAATATCTCGAAGAATCCTTTTGTCCTCTTCTGTAACAAAGTTAATTGCTACGCCTTTCCTACCAAAGCGACCACCACGTCCAATCCTGCAAAGGGAGACAAGTTCAAATTTGACTTTCACAGATTTAATAAACCATTTAACTGACAGTTTGCTTGTGTAGATATGTGGGAGTACTGTGTGGCTTTGTTTGAAAATAAGGTCTGGTGGCTTTTTAAAAAAATATAAACCTGCTGCCAGTTTCTCAGATTAAAAGAATCACCCTCTGCTATACTATTTTGCATTTATACTCATGTAAACCAAGTACCTACACCCTCTGAAATGTTAAGGACATGCCAAAATTTGCTTTAGGTGAAAACAAGTGTATTCTCTAACCAAAAAGCACAGATAAATAGAAATTGGCACTTTGACAACCAGTGGTATAAGTTCACTTGTCAAACAAGTCCTGTTACTTCTTGCATTGCTCTTTGGAGCCAATAGTCAGACAATTGCCTTGCAAAGACCTCTGAACTGCACTGGGATATCTAATTTGACAACCATAGAACAGATTGCTAGGGAGGGCTTGAAAAGCTTTAGGGAAGGCCTGCAACTTTTGCAAGCTGTGTGCAGAAATATCATTTGGGAACAAAAATGCACACCTTTTCATTTAGTTATATCTGCTAAACCATATTTTTTGGTCAATGGCATGTACTTTTTAAACCTGATGTAAATCCAAAGACCAACCTTAAAATAGAAAGCATTGTTAAATATCTAAAATGGCATTATGTAGACCTTCACTCTTAATGCACAGCTCTTATATCAATCTTAATAGGTTATGTCAAGTACCATAACTTCAATGACTAAGTGATCGTGGTGCTTTGAAGCAGTGGAGTGAAAGCCATTTGCTTCCAGAGGTGTAACTTCATAATTAGCCAGCCTAGAACTAGAGTTATAGGCTAACCAATGAGGATTCTGTACTTTTTTTGGAGTCTCATCATACTGGCAACAGACTACTTAGTGGTGACATGTCCCTTTGATGCTGTGAAAGTCCTTCCAGACATCCCTTTCATCTCCAGTAATGGAGCAGTGATTGGGCTGAGAGAACATTGAAAGGGGACAAATGCAATAAAAAGTTTGAAAATTTTGCCAAATGTTATAAAGAGTAACACAGCCCTTTCTATCATGTCTTAATTCTAGCACTTTAGCCCTCCTCATAATAAAAAGTGCTGGTTTGCCTCAGTTATCAAGTTAGATTCTAGTTAGGTCACCTCTGGGACTAAAGTTTGAAACCCTATGCAGTTAGACACTGCAAGTCACATACCAAGGACATTGCTAAAAACATTCACTCACTAGTAGAAATTTACTGAGTTATGTCTATTCTGCAGAGAGAAAGAATGAAAGGACAGCCAACCCCTAAAGCACTTCAGATAAAGTACTTTAGGGAATTGAGTGTTCCTTTATAGCATTTATATGATTACATAACTAGGATTGTTAACAGTCATTGCGTGTTTTAGGTGAATGGAGTTTCATATATTGAAAAAAGCCACTTTGTCTACAGTATAGTAAAAACAGCAGCAAAATAACTTCAAGCAGCAGTGTGACAAGCTAGATTATGCATTTCTATAAACGTTCTACTTTAACCCCTTAAAGATAGAGCCAAATTTACATGTGGTAAACAAAAACTTGAATTTGTGCTATTTTTCTGTTCAGGTGTAATTTGCCTTTCATATTATGTGCACCCACAATTATATATCATTTTATTCAGGGGAAAGAGTTTTCATTTAACAAATATTTAAGTATGAAACAATTTAATATGAATAAATTAAATTGAGAAAACATTTCTAAAATTTTAGTACTATGACATTTTAACTGAGTGTCATAATACAGTTGCTTTTACTGCAATAAAATAGCCATGTTTTTATTCAGCAATGTCTCACGTGTACCCTATGGACAGGTTTTATGGTGTTTTGGGAAGTTACAGGGTCAAATATAGCAGGTAAGATTTTTCACTTTACACATTGAAGTTTGCCAGATTGGTAGCCCAGAAATGAGAATTACCCCCATGATGGCATACCGCTTGCAAATTTAGACAACTCAAGGTACCGCAAATGGGGTATGTCCAGTCTTTGTTAGTAGCCACTTAGTCACAAACACTGGCCAAAGTTAGTGTTCACATTGGAGTGTTAAAAAAAAAAATTTAAACTCCAATTTTGGCCAGTGTTTGTGACTAGGTGGCTACTAAAAAGACTGGACATACCCCTGTTTGCAATACCTTGGGTTGTCTATTGCAAATGGTATGCCATCATGGGGGGTAATTCTCATTCCTGGACTACCATACAGTCTCAAAGACAATGTAACCAAACTGGCAAAGGTCAATGTGAAAAAACTGAAACGCAAGCCTGATATTTGACTAACTTTTGAAAACACCATAAAACCTGAACATGAGGGGGTACGGTTATACTCAGGAGATGTTGAACACAAATAGTGTTTCAAAATAAAATGTATCACAATTATATTGTCCTTGTAAGTGCAGTGTGTAAAAATGCAAAAAATTCACAAACGATATTGTTGATACGTTTTACTGTTTTGAAACACTAGTTTATGCTCTGACGTCTGAGTTTAACAGAACCCCAATGTACAGGTTTTATGGTGTCTTGGAAGTTACAGGGTTAAATAAATATAGTGCTAGCAAATTAAATTCCCTGGACTTTTGGCCTGGGTTGTTGGGCAGGTCCCGCAAATTGTAATTAATAAAATTACCCAATTATGTAAAGTTACATAAATATGTAGAATTATATGTGTATATAAACTTTTGTATATATTCTTTTGTTTTATGCGTATTTTGATATATTTTAAATTACAAATTTTTAAACATTTTATATACAATATAATTTAATCACTATCATTCTATGTGTATTTTGATATCAATATACAATACACTGACAGTATATATAATTTTAAATTTTACGGGCAGCATGGGTGTACCTGTCATACAGGTGCTGGCACTGCCTTGGACAGCTGAAGGTAGGGCCAGCAACAGAAAGGCTGTTACTGGAGAGATTGTGAGTAAAATCATGTATTCCTGACACTATAGTGCTCCTTTAACAGCACCATTAATAGAATGACAGCATCACAAAGTAGCTGATAACTTTGCCATTTACATTACTATCTTTATTTTAGTAAGTTGCCAGGACAAGGATAAGTCACCCATAAAAGCTACACTGCTGCTTTAAAGAGGTTACACAGTCATAACAAATGCAACAGCTAATGCCAAGGCATTAATACCCAACTGCCAGCATCCCCCCCAGAATAAGTGATCATGCACAACCGTGCAGACCATATTGAAATTGTGGACACTTTACCTTTACAAATAGTCCCGTGTTCCAATGGCCGCCATCACCCCACGACCAGAAGTGTGTAATTCTCTGATCAAGAGACACACTCCCTTACTTCCACAGGCTCATTCACAGCAGTGTCCCGGAGCAGCTGTATCCTGCTCCATTAACTATTTAAACATAAAAATCTCATAAAGGTTTTGCCTCAGACTGATAAATGCCAGCTCAGTGGCATGAAAGTTGTTTGAGACCAAGCGTCCCTGACTGCCGGAGAAAAATCAAAACAGACAGGGATAGTAGGAAGCAATTTAATATTTGCAGGGGGAACGACAATACAGCACTTAACAGCTATATTGTAACTTATCCTGCGTTTATGTACACAAAGACAATGCTTCCTTTACTAAAATTACCTTCTAATTTGTTATTTATATAGCGCCAGCAAGTACCGTAGCGCTCTCTACATGGTATTTAATGCTTTGGCACTGGAATATTTTGAGTACTTTGCAAGTGTATATACTATAATGTAACTAAGCACATGCATAGATATAGAAAGCACAGAGGCTGCAAAACAAGAGCCTCTAGATACATGCAGCTACATGTAGCAAATCAATACCTGTGAATGTAGTTTTCACGATTGGTTGGCAGATCATAGTTTATAACCAAGGAAACTTGCTGTACATCAATGCCCCGGGCCTAAGATTGAGGGAAAGCAAATATAAAGTCAGTCACTGAAGTCAAAAGCAATTCCAGGTTTGCTACTTTATGTGTTGGGTTACAGCTCATAGCAAATTTACAAATTCTATTATGTTTTAATGTGTTAGCCACAATATAGTGGTGAACTACAACAGTGTAGTCCACTGTGGAATGTGGGTCTTTCTTTACCAAATGACTTAAGACTGCTCGGTATAGAAAAAACCTTCACAGAAACAAGAAGTCTTTGGAGCTAGGCAACATATGGAATATAAAAGTTCCCTTACCAGCAAGTCTGTAGTTATTAACACACGACTAGACCCCGATCTAAATTCTCTCATTATAACATCTCTTTCCTTCTGGTCCATATCACCATGCTGCAGGAAGAGGAAGAGTTAGAACTACCAATACTACTTGATAAAATATCAGATGTTTGAGACCAAGCGTCCCTGCCTGCTGGAGAAACAACAGTCAGGGATAGTAGGAAACAAGTTTATGTCAGCAGGGGGAACGACAACATAGCACTGTAACACTATATTGTAACTTATCCTGCTTTGTGATGCAAGCATCAAAGTGGATCAACACTTAGTCACTTACTAGAGCAGAGACTGTAAAATCTCTTGCATGCATTTTTTCAGTCAGCCAATCAACTTTTCTTCTTGTATTCAGGAAAATGACAGCCTGTGTAATGGTCAAAGTTTCATAGAGATCGCAGAGAGTATCCAGCTTCCATTCCTAGAGAGAGAGAATGTCATAAAGGTTAACAGCTGTTACTATTCTTTTTCTCCAATGCCTAGTTTTCAATAACAGGTGTGGGTCTCACCTCTCTCTCAACATTGATGTAGAATTGTTTGATACCCTCCAGAGTCAACTCTTCTTTTTTCACAAGAATACGAATTGGATCCCTCATGAATTTTTTGGTCACTTCTAACACATCTGTTGGCATTGTAGCAGACAGGAGGACCACCTAATGGACAACAAGTAGTTAGGGATAGTGGTAGAAAAAAAAAAGTGAAAGCATCTAAAGCTTGTGTCTGTGGCACCAAATCTTTCAGACAATGGGTACTGGACATTAAGAAAGAGGTCCACCCATGTCTAAAAGACCGTAAGTGCATTTATTCTACTTCCTGTTTTTACCCTGCTAGCATCATTACAAGACCTGGAAATCCAAGAACTGTAATTTTAACAGAGTTCTTTTAACAAGAAGGTTAGTGTAGTTCAACTCCTAGTTTACTTTGAGGCTGTAAGAGGACAACCATTTCAATTAGCTATATTTGTCAAGTGAGACCAAGTTTATAATAAAGTTAGTCACAGTAATTAAGAGTCGGGTTATTCTAATCACCTACCTGAATATTTGTGCTCAGTTTTTGAAATATTTCATATATCTGATCCTTAAACCCACGGCTCAACATTTCATCTGCCTCATCCAAGACAAACATCTTTATCCATTTGGGTGCTTAAGGAGAAAGCAAATTATATTTTGTTATCCCGGCATAGAAAGTATTTTCAAAATATCAAATACAGTTGTTTCTCAGACATAAGGAGACCTTAAATACATAGTCTCAGCCAGAATACATTTCAAGACATGTATATTAAAGGAAACCCTGAGCAGAATGTTTGCACTTGTGACCAAGAAATCTTAAGGGAGTTGCCTAAAACCATTGGTAGATATGAGTTTGAGTGATCAGCATATTAAAAAAGGGATCATCAGGCTTCAGTCCCGAAAGATGGTATACCATCATCTCACTCAATAAAATCCGTGTCTTACAAGATACTTACAAAGGTATCGTCGATTCAGCATGTCAAACACTCGCCCAGGAGTTCCAACAACAATGTGGGGTGCCTCTGCTTGAAGCTTCTGCATCTCATTGCGAACATTGGTGCCACCAATACATGCATGGCAAGTTGCACCCATATAGTCACCCAAGGCCAAAATCACCTTCTGAATCTATGGAAGAAAAAAAGCCATTTAAAAGATTTTAAACTTTATGCAGAACACATTCAATATGTACTTACAAGTTGCAATCTGTGCTGCAGATTTGACAGTCATCAAAATCTAAAAATGTAGCATCAAGCTATTTTGATGAATCACCAAAATATAAAGGAAATACTTGTCAAACCTCAAAGCAAAGTTGTTTTTATGATAGGTGATGATGGAAATTTTAAGTATAATTTACAGATAGTGTTTTGCAAGTGTTAGGATGCATAAGTTTTAAAGCTACATGCTTTAAAAGCCATCGCATTGGTAAAAATCTGACAATTAACAAACCAACACAATTAAAGGAAAGTAATGCTTAAACGCAAGTTTAATACAAGAGCACATTTAGAGAAGTCCGAACAGATTAAAATCATTTTTCTATTCATGTTAATGCTTTGCAATAAAAAAAAAATAATTTACTCGATAGAGGCTGACTTTCTTTGTAATTCAGGTCATAAAATTATTTGAATCCTAGCTGTCTGATTGGAGGCTTAATTTTCATTGGATTTTTTGCCCCTTCCTGCAGTTTGCATGTTTTAAAATGCTTGACCTCCTGCTGTAATAGACATATCTCCAAGATGTGTGCTCTCCTTTGATGTAATTCCATACATTTTTAGGCATTACTAATCCTTTGAATATACATGCATGAGATGATTAATTCACATTTTACCTGAGGTATTCTGTGCACTGCAGTTTTCATATTACACAACTGTACAAACTAAACTCAAGATTGGTAACAAGTTCTCTTTTTAAATAATTTACCCATGTTCAAAACTAAAGGGGCAGGCTAAAATTTTAGATATAAATTGCTATTTTGCATTATGTTTTCTAATAGTTTTTAAGAGCAAGTTGTGGAAACTGAAACCTGTGCAGCACACAATTAAAACTGCTCTATCAATACCTGTTGAGCCAGTTCTCGTGTGGGAGCCAATACTAGAGCTTGGGTCTCCTTGAGATCTATCTCCAGCTGCTGCAGGATGGAAATTGCAAATGTGGCAGTCTTGCCAGTACCTGACTGAGCTTGAGCAATCACATCATACCCTAAAAAGATTAGGATACATGTTTAATGTTCCCACATTTAACCTGGGCAAGTAAGCCACGTTCAAAGCACATTTTGTTCAAGTGATCAGTAAGATATGTTTTCTCCATTTCAGGTCAGTCCCGAAAGATGTAACCATCATTTCACTTAATACATATGTATCTTCAGTTTTGTTTTAACTTAAAAAAAATGACCTAAGCCTACATGCAGTTTTCTAGCTACAAGCATCCTAAAACTGCACAATACTAACCTTTAATACAAGGTATTATTGCTCTTTGTTGAATAGCTGAAGGTTTCTCAAAGCCATATGCATAGATTCCCCTCAGAAGAGATTCTTTAAGATTCATGTCATCGAAATTGTCAACAATTTCATTCCAGTTGCTCTGCAAGAGAAAGATATCTTTAGAACTATAGGAAGGGGGGAATAGAGTGGAAAAGCCTAAAAAGGACAAACCTCGTAAAGTTTTAATGTGGGATAAATTCATGAATACAAGCTATTCATGATATAGCAGCTGATTATTGCTAATTGAGAGTGAAGTTAATACTATGCAATTACAAAAGTCAAGTGGGACAGACCAATATCTACTCTATGGAAGAGAATTGATAAAAAGATAGTATGTTAACAAAGTATACAAACCTCAATGACACCATCGGGGTCCATTCCTTCTGGGCCACCATGGTCTCTGAAAGAAAGCCAAAAGCAATGCATTTGAAAGCAGTCTTGCACTGTATTACTATTTTTACTAACAAAAAACGTAATGGTTGAGGCACAAACCATGTAGGAATAAAGCAGATCTCTTTAACGTTCTGTCCTCCAAACATAAGTGATCATATGCATTCCCTCATCAGAAATTAGTTGCTTATATTATACACTACCCAGAGGATAAATATGCTGGTGTTGCAAACAAGCCACACCAAAGATCACATATTGCCAATTCACAAGCACATGTAAAGTAATACATGCTTAGATGTTCTCTAATGGGAAGCTATAGAAGGCAAACAGCAGTATGTGAATTTTAAGGCAGCTCCTAACATTTGTTGAGGTCAATGGAAATGAGGGTTTCCATTTTTTTACTATGTGTCTGATCAGGGAGGGCAGATTCCTCTACCAAGCTATAAAGGAACACTATAGCATACACAATCTAAGTGTGTATAAGTGAATTCAATGCTTAAGCAAGGATAAGCATTTGATGTCCTAATGCAATTTAATGAAGCCAGCCACTAAATGTTTAGCCCTGCAATGAAAACATTCACAAAAAACAAGTAGTATAGTCCACTCAGGAATAGAGATCCACATGAAAAAATAAGATTAACAAAAGTAATGAAAAAAAGTGGACATTCACAATTGCAGCAGTCAGTGACATGAAAAATGCTATTGGCAGAGCTCAGAATGCTATATACAAAGAGTAGGTATGCAAAGCAATGGATTACAGATTATTCAAATCCATGACATGATTCCAAGCAGAGGCAACATTTGCAAAATAGAAACTTGAAAAGCAGATTTGAAAAAAGTTGCAATACTTGCTGCTACCAGACACGAGGGAGACTTTCTTCAGCAGGAAGTGGTGTAGGTAGGTGGTCTCCCTCATGTCTGGCAGCAGCAAGTATTGCAGCATCTCAAGTCTGCTTTTCAAGTTTCTATTTTGAAAGCATGTTGCCTCTGCTTTGAATCATGTCATGGATTTGAATCAACTGTAACCCATATATTGCTTTGTATACCTATTTTTTGTATTCAGCATTCTGAGTTCTGCCAGGACGAAAACGTGTATTTTTCATTAACTCTCATCTTATTTTTTTCCCCATATGGCTCTTTAAGATTTATTCCCGAGTGTGGACTATACCATTTGTGTTTTGTTGAAAAGTCCAGCACCTGAGTTTATCTTTTATATGCTGGAGTGCTAGGATGGATTTACTAGATACAGAATATATCATTTATTTTGGAGTTGTGGCTTAATTTGTGTGTGGATCTTTAACACCACCCATCCTCTTTGTCTGCAATGAAAAGGAGTTTAATCTATGAGGGAGGGGGGGAAGGCAATGTTTTTTATTGCAGGCCTAAAAACAGCCACTGCACCAGACCAATTGAGATGCCTATAGTAGTCTATTAATATTGTAAAGCGCTGACTCAGTCAGTGCCTTCCTGAGAGCAATGGGACACCTAGTCCACACAAGTGGCATGGCCACAAATTAAGAGCACAAACTTCAATATTGCTGATTTGCTCAGAGGACATGGGCAAAAGTACAAAAGTTTAAGCAGCAGCACAACCCCATTGTTAAAAATATATGGGTGCTGTAATACTGGTAAGCAGGTATAGTATGGATGCCCTTTACTTATCTGTTCCATTCATATAAGGTGAATAGACTATTACTGAGGCAGAACTACACAGCCCATAAATCCGTGCTTTACAGCAGAAGGCAGTTTTCACCCTGTGCCGTGGTACATGCCTTGAGCTAAACAAACATTGGGGTTGTTCATAAGTTAAATGTAGTTCTTAATAGGAGAGAAAACTCAAAACATGCAACAGGCTATTCTCATATGGCAATTAAAACCTTTTTTGCTAGACGCATATCTGGTTAGACTGCATGTATAACACCAATGGTTACAAAGTTGTGCCTTGGAAGTTTCGCAAATTTTGCGAGACTTAAGTATGAAAGATAATAAAATGCTGGAGACAATGAATGTCAGATTAGTGGAACAGCTTGATCTGAAAGAAGCAGCAGTTACTTCAAAAAATATATAGCGCTTTTATAAACATGACCGTTTTACACCCAGTTAGGGTGAAAGATTAGCTCAGAACAGGTTTTATACATTAATACGGTCTGTTCACTTGCATGGCTGGGGTGAGGAAATAAACTAATCACTCTGCGTGCCCTGTATTGGAAGAATCCCCTCTCCAATATTGGAGTAAGGGTGGGAACGGTCACATACCAACACGATAAACAAGCGCAGGGCTAGTGAATCTAGGCGTCATTGGACAGCATGGCACCCAGCCAGGGATGGTTCACTTGGCACCCCGCCTAATGCCAGCTACACTCCGCTTACAGCGCTGCTGGCTAGGCATGTTCGGGAACCCTGGGCCATAGGATCCAAGAGTGACTGACAGTCTGTTTCCATGGTGATTGATCCCAGAGCTGGGCAAATCAGAGGGTTAAAGGCCCAGCACCCATTTAATGTTACACAGGCTGAGTGCGCGGGTCAGGCCTGGGACAGCCCCCTACACAGCAACACCGCTTTACCCTGCCGCCATGTTTTAACTCCGCCATTTTATACCCTCCATTCCACCCTGACCATGGGAAGACCATAGCCCCCACTAATATAACGTGCCCCACCGCGACCCCCCCCTCCCCTATATAACGCTGCCCCCGGAGCTGGCAGACACCCTCACCCACCTATCCATGCCTAGCCCGGGTTACAGACAGCTGGCAGACACCCACCCCGTGCCAGCCTTCCCCGCCCAATAGGTAGGTGATACAGACAGCTCACAGAGCAGCCCCGGCCCGGCCTGTCTCTCTCCCCCCCCGCCCCCGTTAGGTTATACGGATAGATAGTATCCCTGGGGCCAGACCGGCGCAGTATGGTTACCGTGCAGGAATGGCGGGTTACTGTCAGTACACCCCCCCTCCCCTGCCAATACCAGAGCCGGCCTATGGCGCCATGCGGGCCGCCGGCGGCGATGGTGAATACCTGGTATAGTCCGCAGAGCCGCTTGACATGTTCCGACCTCACTTCCA